TTGTACAACATAAGTTATATCTATAGAATAGGCAAAATTTAGTTCTAAAATAGGAAAAAAATTTTTAAGTCCTAAATATTTAATACCTTGCCTTTTATTTTACTAATGTTTTCATGGTTTCCTTTATGTTAAGTGATGCCATACTTTGCTCTCCAGTTAACTGAGTGTTTTATCAATAAACTTGTGTTTAACTTGGAAAAGCAATGAAAAATCATTTGATAAAAAGTGTTTTCAAAAATTTTCCTGGTTTCTAATAGTTTAATTAATTGTTTGAATAAGTTTAACACAATTATTAATTGGGTTGTAAAAGGTGTGATCCTCATCGAAGTGAGATCATAACCATTTTGTTAGAATAGTGTAAAATAACTTAGTACTATTAAATTACTTTTGGTTGATTTTTAACTTCATCAATAATAGTTTTATAGCCATCTAAAAAAGGATGAAATGGTAATTAGCATTTTCCCCACTAATGATATTATATTTTTATTAAAAAATTTAAATATCTAACAAAATCACCCAACTTTACAAGGAATGAATTTACAAAGCGTAGTCGGTAAGCAACATAAACATGAGAATTAAATACTATTATCAAAAAAAAGTTTTGTACTACCATAAAAAAAAATCGTAAAAAAAAAAAAATTCTGCTGCGAGCGAGATTTGAACCCCAGAATGCTCAAAGCAAAATTACACAATGCGGTACTTAGCTACCTTGACTACCAACGCACTCTTTTCCTTAGCACTTACAGTGACACATGTTTATCGTGAAGCTCCAGGGTTTAAGCTTAAGTATTAGTTTATTTTTTCTTTATATTGATAATTGTGTTAAAGTTTGGCCTACAAGTAGAATTATTTTTCTAAATATTTTCACAATTACTTATTCTTATTAGAAAAGTTACATGTGTTGAAGAATGACATTTGAATTACAGAAAAAGTCATTCTCTATTGAATAAACTTAAAAATCAAAGTGAAGCGTGTGTGTATTATTCTGATATTTTTAATGTGCTAAATTTTTATAAATCTATAAAAACATAAATTATTCTAGTTGTAAAAATGATTATTTTATAGAGATCAAGTTTCAAGAAGTTACATGAAATATCGGGGCTTACGTTATGATTACTCAATTTTTTGTTTTATACAAGAAAAACTCAGTATTGAGCTGTACAAGTATTAAATACACATTTAATGAGCAATATATAACCGAACATATATTAACTGTCCAACATTCAAAACCGCTTTTGAGAGAACATCACATCAGAAATAGATATAGGTATACGCATTTATGCGAGAGCTGCGAGCTGCGAGAGCCGGGAGCCGAGAGCCGAGGCAGCTAGAATACAAAACATATATATAGCTATACCCGTGTATACGCACATATTCCTTCCCCCTCTACTAGGTACCTATCGTACGCACAATTTGGTCTTCTCCTCCGCTGCTGAAACGTGCGTATAGTTCGGCTGATTTGCCGCGACGGGGCGCTCAAAACAGTAAAAAAAAAGCGACACACTCTCTACCATTGGCGCTGGCAGTCTCCCTTCTAATCTCTGGCCGAACTCTTTGCCGTTGATCGGGAGCTGTCCTCCCAAAAAGCTGCTTCCGGAGGCTGTCCCCCCTCGCAGGTCACGGGAGCTGTCCTCCCAAGTGACACTACATGTGCTGCTTAGGCAACGCCTGAGACGCTGTTCTTCTTGTGTCTAAAGTTGCCAGGCCATGCGGTGGCCATCCGCCATATTACCACACTCTCGAGCCCAAGTAAATTGACGAGCAACGTCCATCTGTCTTTTGGCCAAGCAGAGATCTTAAGCCAACCCGAGCAGCGGTCATCATCATCATTCGCGCACAAGACCTTCGTATACAAGGTACAGGCTGACACCATATCTCTCGCCGCATCACCACAGCGCGTGCCCACGTATGCGTTCCCTTGTCTCGCGTGATTCGACGCCATTTTGCCAACGTACAAGATACGCGCAACGATAGCTATGTCCCAAGCGTTTACGTGGTACAGACTATATATATGCATATATTTCACCTTTTAACTTAATATTGTATTTTCGCCTCACGCTCCATGGGGGTGCTTTGTGACTGGTGATTGAGCGTTTATTATTCAACTATTTGATTAATTTTGTTTGTGTGCTGCTGGTATGTTGCGTTTGAATGGGCTGCGTTACTTTTTCAATTTAATTGTTCCTTATTTAGTTTGCCCGCTATATAGTGTTTTACGTTGGCGCTATTATTAACTGTTGTCACTATTTACCCGATAAGTGTGCGATTATCTTACTTTACAATAAAATGTTGGTAAAATAAATGTTATGAATTTGATGTAAATTTAACTATGCTTAACTTATTCAACCTGTACGCTCTAACCAGTTCTTTTCTTCTTCCTTTCAAACGTGCATTATTAACATTTCGGTGCCCTGGGTGAGGAACTCACAACCAAAGAACGAGTAAATTCGTCAGGGCGTACCAGGCGTTAGCGTGCGGTTATATTGCGTAACAATTTTCTTGATTCAAGGAATTGGTGCATGGCGCTCTCTCTTTCTCATCTGACGTTTATATTATTAACTCTTACCCCCTTGCCTGATAGGTTGTGCAGCCCACGTTAAGCTTTATTATTGAATCATAGTCGCTGCCATATTATATCAAAATCAGGCACAGCATGGAATTCTTTACCTCAAAAAGGCTAGTTTTACTGCAAAAAGATCGGTTTTCAGAAATGGGACAAATAAAGGCCCTTTTCGATGCGATCGATCAAGAATCTATTACCAAGAATATGATTACGTCACGAATAACAGCGCTTAATCGTGTGTGCGATGAAGCTCGAACTGTCCATGCTGATATCGTCGTGCGCGAAGATGCTGAGTCGGACCCTTATGTTGCTTCGAAAAAATTTACTTTACAACAGAGCATTTACGAGGGTTACCTCAACAAGTTACTGACAGTCCTCACTGGTTTAGAGGAGGCCGAAAGATCAAATCGCCCCCCACGGAACGACCCTAACGTATCGGTTAACATCGACCCTCAATTAGGAAAATTACCAAATCTTGCCCTTCCGTCTTTCTCGGGGAAGTACGAAGATTGGGAAAGTTTTTTGGGCCTGTTTGTATCTCTCGTTCATGAGATCGATTACATTTCTGATGTCAATAAATTACAGTATCTCAAGTCATGCCTTACTGGAAATGCTGCGGATCTCGTGAAGGACGTGACGCTCAAAGGGGACAACTATTCTCCGATGCAGCGCAGAGAATTGTGATAGCCTTGGAGAATTTGAAGATGCCGGTAAAGCACTGGAATGTTTGGCTGGTTCACCTCTTTTTTAGCCGACTAGTCCTTGTCTCACGTAAGGCGTGGGAGTTGAAATTGAGCGTCAGGGATCGCCGGACGGTGACTAGGGCTGGCGATAACCTCCCAAGTAATCAGGATAGATTTTCCACCTTTAAAGAGTTCATCGATTTTGTATAGAATCGGATCCAAGGACTGTCCATGTTAGGGGCGGAACCTGGTCTAGAAAGAAAAACAAACGCGGTTAAGGCCAGCATCGTTCCCGCAAGGCGCACTTTTCTCAGAAAACAAATAGAACCCATAGTCCGAACTGTTCGGTCTGCTTGAGCGTTCATCAAATCTGAAAGTGCCCTAAGTTTAAGTCAAGGTCTGTCCACGAACGAAAAAATAATGCACGGCAATTCGGGCAGTGCTTTAATTGTTTAGTCAATTATCATGTTGAAGCGTGTAAATCTCTTGTTCGATGCGTAACGTGTAAAGAGAAGCATCACACCGTTCTCTATAAAGACCCTTCAAGGCACTTTGACTCCAATCGACCATTGCCAGAACGCAAACCTTCCGACTTTGCCACGGGGGGCTCTTGAATCAAAGCAAATACCGTTACAACGAGCTTCCCAATGGTGAACTCTCTTGTGATCCTAGCCACTGCCCAGGTTGACGTAGCCGGCCCTAGTGGATACACTTCAAGGGCTAGAGCCTTGTTAGATCAAGGAGCCGAAACCTCCTTCGTAACGGAATCTTTAGCTCAATAGCTGAATTTACCGAGAACGCCTATTAAGGTGGCGCTTTAAGGGGTGGAAAACTCGCAAGCAGCAGTAGCCAGGGCTCTCGTGACGGTCAAGATTCGATCCACCGTTTCTCCCAGTTTCCACCTTGATGTTATATTCCTGATGTCTTATATTCCAGAACTGGACCTCCCTGAACTACCCCCTCAGGTTCTGGATGGACTAGATTTAGCAGACCCGATGTTCATGCGCAAGGGAATTGTAGATCTCATCCTCGGAGCCGATGTCTACGGCAGGCTTCTAAGGTCGGGCCTTAGGCGTGCTTCACCCACAAGTTTAACCGCTCAAAACACTAGCCTGGGATGGATCATATCAGGTCCCGTACGACCTATTGTGGCAAGGCGGGTGGCGCTAATCTCCGTCGGCCGTGTCCAAGCTCTGCATGCCACTTATGAGGATACCTTGAGCGATCTGTTACAGAATTTTTGGCTGGTTGAAGGGTTTTCCGAAGCTCATCAGTCTGGGAAGCCCTAGGACGAAAATTGTGAACACCAATATCAGACCACCCATTCACGAGACATCGAAGGTCGTTACACTGTGTAACTGCTCTTGAGAGAGGGGATTCCCCCTCTAGGCAGAGAAACTAGGAAAACAGCGATTACCGCTCTGTCAAGTCAGCATCGGCGATTCACTAAGGACCCATGGTTGTCCACCCAACATAGAGAATTTGTGGAATGTAACGAAGTCCTTGGTCACATGACTCGCATATCATCCACTGAGATTGGCGACTCACAGGCTTAGTACCTTTCTCACCAGGCTGTTGTGACTGGATCTAACGCTCACCGAAAAGTTCGGGTAGTTTTTGATGTGGCTAGGAAAACACACAATCACTGTCTGAACGACAACCTGCTCCCAGGCCCCCCTTTGCAGACCGACCTTTCGCTTCTGCTGCTCGATTGGCGTAGGTATCAATTCGTATTCACAGCCGATATAGTAAAAATGTTCCGGCAGATTTGGGTTAACCGCGCTCATCAAGATCAACAGTGGATCGTGTGGTTCCCGGATCAGGAAAGTAGTCCCATCGATTATCGACTTACTACGGTGACATACGGTACGAATTGTGCGCCGCTCTTGGCCATACGTACCCTGTTACAACTTGCTGATGACGAGATTTCCAGGTTTTCCCTCGGAGCTAAGATTCAAAAAGAAAACGTTTACATGGACGATATGTTTGTGGGGGACGATACTCTCTCTGGAGCCAAAAATAAAAGGAACGAGCTAGTCTCAATATTCAAATCCGCAGGCATGGCATTGGATAAATGGGCCGCTAATCAGACCGAGTTGCTCTCGCGAGATGCAGTCACTCAAATCGACGAGAGCCAAACTGTGAAGACCCTAGGGCTACGGTGAAATCCAGTGAAGGACGAGTTCAAGTTTAACCCCAACCTTTTTTATATCAGCTCTATCTCTGACATATCAGACATAACTATTCCTCGATGGGTTGGGACCTCTCCAGGGCAAAAACATGAGCTACATGGTTTTTCCGATGCATTAAAGAGAGGGTACGCCGCCGTAGTGTATCTAAGAGTGACTACGGGGGAAGGCGGATGTCATACTCACCTGTTAATGTCCAAGACCAAGGTCACCCCCGTGAATACTATTAGCATTCCTAATCTTGAATTGTGCGCAGCAGCTCTTCTCGTCTCGCTTATTCAGCACCTCAAAAAATCTCACTTCTTTCAACAGCTGAAGTTCTACGCCTGGACTGATAGTCAGTTAGTTTTGGATTGGTTGAATAAGCATCCCCGCCAGTGGAAGACCTTTGTTGCAAACAGGGTGGCGTTTACTCAAACGGAGCTTCTGGCTGCCACTTGGTCCCACGTCCCGTCCAAGGAAAATGCTACTGACATAGCTTCGTGGGGCTCTAAGCCCACTGAATTAGCCAATTTTTGACAATGGTGGTTCGGTCCGAGCTGGCTCGATCAAGATAGGGAGCTTTGGCTGACAAAGGCTGGACAGATGCGCGTGCTGACCACCCGACCAACTCCTCCGGCCCCTCCCGAATCGGATATCCTCATCAGATTCTCTACCCTGACACGGTTAGTTCGAGTCCTAGCGTACTGCTTACGGCCTTTAAAACTGCTTCGACTGAGAAAGTCCGCTCTACCCCCTTTACCGGCATTTCTGACGGCAGCGGAGTTATCACAGGCCAGAGCCTCAGCCATACTGCTTTCACAAGCGCATTTTTTCAAGGATCAACTACTAACGATGTCGTGCGGCAAACACCTACCCAAGAACCACTTCTTGAGCAAACTAAACCCGTTTACGATCACAACTTGGGCATCCTGCGGGTAGGTGGGCGTCTTGAACATGCGCCTCTGCCAGTTGAAGGGAAGCATCCCCCAATCGTAGCGGGTCGCTCCACTCTAGCTCGTCTCTTCGTTAGACATGCTCACCACACCTGCCTTCACGGAGGGCCCACCTTGACTTCTAGCACCGTCTCTCAGATGATCTGGTTGACAGATAGGAGTCGGTTAGTAAAGTCGAAGGTTCGACATTGTATTACGTGTCAGAAGGTAAAGTCACGTCTTGTTCACCAGATGATGGGAGATCTTCCAAGTGACGTGTAACGGCGGCCCATCCTTTCCGAAACGCAGGTTTAGATTACGTGGGCCCTGTTTCAGTACGACCCAGCAAGATACGGGGAAACTGTACTTCAAAGAGGTACATAGTCCTCTTTGTGTGTTTCGGTACCAAAGCAGTGCATCTTGAGCTCGTGAGTGATCTTACGTCCATCAGTTTTGCTTCTGCCTTCCGTCAGTTTGTCAGTCGAAGTAGTCACTGTCAGCGACTTTACAGTGATAACGCCACAACTTTCCATGGGGCAGACAAGGACTTAAGGGCAATGTTCCACAGAGCATCGGAATTCTATCGGGCATCAGCGGAGGCATTGGCCAACGACGGCACCACCTGATCTTTCATTCCCTCCAGCTCCCCTCATTGCGGAGGTCTCTGGGAAACAGGGATAAAGTCCACTAAACACCACCTTAAGCGATCTATAGGGGAACACGTACTTACCTATGAGAAGTTATACACGCTCCTGACCGAGATTAAATCGTGCCTCAATTTTCGTCCGTGAACCCCACTCAGTGTTGACGCAACCGATCTACACGCCTTAACCCCAGGGCATTTCCTAAAAGGGGAAGCTTCGATCCTCGTTCCCGACGAGGATCAGCCTGATCTGCCACAGAACCGCCTTACTCGGTTCCAGATAGTTCAGCGGTTAAAAAACGTCTTCTGGAAACTTTGGTCCAACGAGTGCTTACATCAGCTACAGGAGCGCAATAAATGGAGGTCAGCAACGGAAAATATGGCAGTCGGAAATATGGTCCTAGTCCGTGACGAGCGCTACCCACCATCGAAATGGCCCTTGGGCCGAATTATTGAAATCCACCTAGGTCCGGATAGTCACATTCGAGTTGTTTCCGTCAGAACATCCACGAGTATTTTCAGAAGACATGTGTCTCGCCTCTGTCCACTGCGGATGGAGGGTACCGAAGACCGTACCTCACCAAATAACATTGTTAATTGAATATTCACCTCTGGTGAATAGGCGGGTGGCATGTTCGGGTTAGAGAAGGAAGAGCAGGCAACAAAGCGAATGGGTAGGAGGGGCTAGGTAGGACTGAAAAAAGAAAGGGAGGAGAGAGAGAGAAAGAGAAGGAAGAATGCGTGGGGGACTGGCAGTCGTAACCTAAATTCGAGCAAGCAGGAGCTGTAGCCGTATAACGGAGCACACCAAAATCGATACGAAAGAAACGTATCACGCGTGAACGCACTTTTTTGCTATTTTGCGCCCTTGGAAACAAATAGCTGAACTCTTTACCGTTGATCGGGAGCTGTCCTCCCAAAGAGCTGCTTCCGGAGGCTGTCCCTACTCGCAGGCCACGGGAGCTGTCCTCCCAAGTGACACTACATGTGCTGCATAGGCGACGCCTGAGACGCTGTCCTTATTGTGTCTAAGGTTTCCAGGCCACGCAATGGCCATCCGCCATATTACCGCACTCTCGAACCCAAGTGAATTGACGAGCAACGTCCATCTGTCTTTTGGCCAAGCAGAGATCTCAAGACAATCCGAGCAGCGGTCATCATCATCATTCGCGCACAAGACCTTCGTATACAAGGTACAGGCCGACACCATATCTCCCGCCGCATCACCACAGCGCGTGCCCAGGTATGCGTTCCCTCGTCTCGCGCGCTTCGACGCCATTTTGCCAACGTACAAGATACACGTAACGATAGCTACCTCCCAAGCGTTCACGTGGTACAGACTATATATATGCATACATTGCACCTTTTAATTTAATATTGTACTTTCGCCTCGTGCTTCGTGGGTGTGCTTTGTGACTGGTGATTGAGCGTTTATTATTTTACTATTTGATTGATTTCGTTCGTGAGCTGCTGGTATGTTGCGTTTGAATAGGCTGCGTTACTTCTTCAATTTAATTGTGCCTTATTTTGTTTGCCCGCTATATAGTGTTTTACGTCAGCGCTATTAATAACTGTTGTCACTATTTACTCGATAAGCGTGCGATTATCTCACTTTACGATAAAATGTCAGTAAGATAAATGTTATGAATTTGATGTAAATTTCACTATGCTTAACTCATTAGACCTGTACGCTCTAACCAGTTCTTTCCTTCTTCCTTTCAAATGTGCATTATGAACAGAGACTAAGTGTTACGTATGTTTATCGTAGAGTTTCGAAGCTTGAGATTTGATTTAAGCTTTATCGTATTATTGCCGTTAAGCTATGTATTAATGATAAAAAAATATAAATTAACAAATAAAGATATCAGTGCAATGGAGCGTTTGGGTAAAGGTGTTCAGTATATTAGTAAATAATATTATTTAGTACAAAAAATATTTGAGCGTACNAAAAAAAAAAAAAAAAAAACAAAACGCGCGCGTAATGTGACCACATTTAGTGTGCTGGTCTCAAGCCTAGAAAAACTACAAAGAAAACGTGCATTTCTTCATAATAACTTATTACAGGTATTACCACAAACAAAGCTCTAATGGCTTTCTTTTTTGATAATTACTTCTTCATAAAAAGTAATTAAAAAAAAAGTTTTTGGTCACTAGTAAGACAAAATACGTAAGTAATTATAAAAATTAAGATTGAAACATTTAAAATAGGGTTGTAACAATAAGAAAAAAAAAAAAATTGCACCGAGTGATATTGGAACCTAGACCCACATAACTAAAATTCACCCTCCTGCTCTAGCCATTTGAGCTATTAACGCTTAGGGGATAAGACTAAAAGTTACACATGTTTATCGTAAAGTTTCGAAGCTTGAGATTTGATTCAAGCTTTATGGTATTATTGGCGTTAAGCTATGTATTAATCGTAAAAAAATGTAAATTAACAAATAACATTAATAAAGCATAATAATATGTTAGTTGCGATGAGCTTGTCATTTCTTAAATAGTAAAAAAAAAAATTTTTATAACTTGACAACTACGGTTTTATTTTTGTTGTTAAATAAAAGATCAACTGCACTTTAACAGTTTTAACTTGATGCGTCAAATAATTTTTTTAGCCATGAATGAAAAAAAAATTTTCTTGGATCGTGTACCAATAATGGAAAAAAAAAATCTTTTCAGTTATTGATATAATAAAATACGTAAGTTATCATTAGAAAAAAAAAATTTTAAACATTTAAAGTAATGTTGTAATAATAAAAAAAAAAAAAATTTGCTCCAAGTGAGATTAGAACATGGAGCCACAAAACTTAAATCCATTCTTCTCAGGCTTCCCAGACTGATAAGCTTCGGAAAACCCTTTAACCAGCCAAAACTTCTGTAACAGATCGCTCAAGGTATCCTCATAAGTGGCATGCAGAGCTTGGACACGGCCGACGGAGATTAGCGCCACCCACCTTGCCGCAATAGGTCGTACAAAATGATGGTTGCCTAAACAATTGAAGCACAGCCCGAATTGCCGTGCATTATTTTTTCGTTCGTGGACAGACCTTGACTTAAACTTAGGGCACTTTCAGATTTGATGAACGCTCAAGCAGACCGAACAGTTCGGACTATGGGTTTTATTTGTTTTCTGAGAAAAGTGCGCCTTGCGGGAACGATGCTGGCCTTAACCGCGTTTGTTTTTCTTTCTAGACCAGGTTCCGCCCCTAACATGGACAGTCCTTGGATCCGATTCTATACAAAATCGATGAACTCTTTAAAGGTGGAAAATCTATCCTGATTACTTGGGAGGTTATCGCCAGCCCTAGTCACCGTCCGGCGATCCCTGACGCTCAATTTCAACTCCCACGCCTTACGTGAGACAAGGACTAGTCGGCTAAAAAAGAGGTGAACCAGCCAAACATTCCAGTGCTTTACCGGCATCTTCAAATTCTCCAAGGCTATCACAATTCTCTGCGCTGCATCGGAGAATAGTTGTCCCCTTTGAGCGTCACGTCCTTCACGAGATCCGCAGCATTTCCAGTAAGGCATGACTTGAGATACTGTAATTTATTGACATCAGAAATGTAATCGATCTCATGAACGAGAGATACAAACAGGCCCAAAAAACTTTCCCAATCTTCGTACTTCCCCGAGAAAGACGGAAGGGCAAGATTTGGTAATTTTCCTAATTGAGGGTCGATGTTAACCGATACGTTAGGGTCGTTCCGTGGGGGGCGATTTGATCTTTCGGCCTCCTCTAAACCAGTGAGGACTGTCAGTAACTTGTTGAGGTAACCCTCGTAAATGCTCTGTTGTAAAGTAAATTTTTTCGAAGCGACATAAGGGTCCGACTCAGCATCTTCGCGCACGACGATATCAGCATGGACAGTTCGAGCTTCATCGCACACACGATTAAGCGCTGTTATTCGTGACGTAATCATATTCTTGGTAATAGATTCTTGATCGATCGCATCGAAAAGGGCCTTTATTTGTCCCATTTCTGAAAACCGATCTTTTTGCAGTAAAACTAGCCTTTTTGAGGTAAAGAATTCCATGCTGTGCCTGATTTTGATATAATATGGCAGCGACTATGATTCAATAATAAAGCTTAACGTGGGCTGCACAACCTATCAGGCAAGGGGGTAAGAGTTAATAATATAAACGTCAGATGAGAAAGAGAGAGCGCCATGCACCAATTCCTTGAATCAAGAAAATTGTTACGCAATATAACCGCACGCTAACGCCTGGTACGCCCTGACGAATTTACTCGTTCTTTGGTTGTGAGTTCCTCACCCAGGGCACCGAAATGTTAATAATGCACGTTTGAAAGGAAGAAGAAAAGAACTGGTTAGAGCGTACAGGTTGAATAAGTTAAGCATAGTTAAATTTACATCAAATTCATAACATTTATTTTACCAACATTTTATTGTAAAGTAAGATAATCGCACACTTATCGGGTAAATAGTGACAACAGTTAATAATAGCGCCAACGTAAAACACTATATAGCGGGCAAACTAAATAAGGAACAATTAAATTGAAAAAGTAACGCAGCCCATTCAAACGCAACATACCAGCAGCACACAAACAAAATTAATCAAATAGTTGAATAATAAACGCTCAATCACCAGTCACAAAGCACCCCCATGGAGCGTGAGGCGAAAATACAATATTAAGTTAAAAGGTGAAATATATGCATATATATAGTCTGTACCACGTAAACGCTTGGGACATAGCTATCGTTGTGCGTATCTTGTACGTTGGCAAAATGGCGTCGAATCACGCGAGACAAGGGAACGCATACGTGGGCACGCGCTGTGGTGATGCGGCGAGAGATATGGTGTCGGCCTGTACCTTGTATACGAAGGTCTTGTGCGCGAATGATGATGATGACCGCTGCTCGGGTTGGCTTAAGATCTCTGCTTGGCCAAAAGACAGATGGACGTTGCTCGTCAATTTACTTGGGCTCGAGAGTGTGGTAATATGGCGGATGGCCACCGCGTGGCCTGGCAACTTTAGACACAAGAAGAACAGCGTCTCAGGCGTTGCCTAAGCAGCACATGTAGTGTCACTTGGGAGGACAGCTCCCGTGACCTGCGAGGGGGGACAGCCTCCGGAAGCAGCTTTTTGGGAGGACAGCTCCCGATCAACGGCAAAGAGTTCAGCCAGAGATTAGAAGGGAGACTGCCAGCGCCAATGGTAGAGAGTGTGTCGCTTTTTTTTTACTGTTTTGAGCACCCCGTCGCGGCAAATCAGCCGAACTATACGCACGTTTCAGCAGCGGAGGAGAAGACCAAATTGTGCGTACGATAGGTACCTAGTAGAGGGGGAAGGAATATGTGCGTATACACGGGTATAGCTNTTTGGTAAATGTCGTATGGATTTAAAAACAATTTTTTGATCTGAATCATCAAAATTAGTCTAAGAACTTGTACAACATAAGTTATATCTATATAATAGGCAAAATTTAGTTCTAACATAGGAAAAAAATTTTTAAGTCCTCAATACTTAATACCTTGCCTTTTATTTTACTAATGTTTTCATGGCTTCCTTTATGTTAAGAGATGCCATACTTTACTCTCCAGTTAACTGAGCGTTTTATCAATAAACTAGTGTTTAACTTGGAATAGCAATGAAAAATCATTTGATAAAAAGTGTTTTCAAAAATTTTCCTGGTTTCTAATAGTTTAATTAATTGTTTGAATAAGTTTAACACAATTATTAATTGGGTTGTAAAAGGTGTGATCCTCATCGAAGTGAGATCATAACCATTTTGTTAGAATAGTGTAAAATAACTTAGTACTATTAAATTACTTTTGGTTGATTTTTAACTTCATCAATAATAGTTTTATAGCCATCTAAAAAAGGATGAAATGGTAATTAGCATTTTCCCCACTAATGATATTATATTTTTATTAAAAAATTTAAATATCTAACAAAATCACCCAACTTTACAAGGAATGAATTTACAAAGCGTAGTCGGTAAGCNAAGATATCAGTGCAATGGAGCGTTTGGGTAAAGGTGTTCAGTATATTAGTAAATAATATTATTTAGTACAAGAAATTTTTGAGCGTTCTGTGTCGTTGTGGTGAATGCCTTTATTTATTATTTAATAATTTCACTTATCGTAAAAGTGAAAAACAATTGAGCGTACTAGATTTTTGAGATAAAAGCGCTCGTTTATTAATAAAGCATAATAATATGTTAATTGCGTTGAGCTTGTCATTTTTTGAAAAGTGAGAAAGAAAATTTCAATAACTTACTAATTATGTTTTTCTTTTAAGTGTTAAATAAATAATCAACTACACTTGAAAAGTTCTTACTTGATGCGGTAAATAATTTTTTAGCCATGAATGGAAGAAAAATTATCTTGGATCGTGTATTAATATTGCAAAAATAAAACTTTTTATTCACTGATAAAACAAAATACGTAAGTAATTATAAAAAAAAAAAAGCATTGAAAGTAATGTTGTAATAAAAAAAAAAAAAAATTTGCACCGAGTAAGATTAGAACCTGGAGCCTCAAAACAAACATTTGCCCTCCTGCTCTAGCCACTTGAGCTATCAAAGCTTAGAGTAACAGATGGCTAAAAGTTACATATGTTTATCGTTAAGTTTCGAAGCTTGAGATTTAATTGAAGCTTCATCGTATTATTACCGTTAAGCTATGTATTAATAGTAATAATATATAAATTATCCAATAAAGATATCAGCGCAATGGGGCGTTTGGGTAAAGGCGTTCAGCATATTAGTAAATAATATTACTTAGTACGAAAAATATTTGGAGCACACTGTGTCGTTGTGGTGAATGCCTTCATTTATAATTCAATAATTTCACTTATCATAAATGTGAAGAACAATTAAGCGCACTGGATTATTGGGATAGAGGCGCTCATTCATTAATAAAGCAAAATAATATGTTAATTGCGTTGAGTTTGTCATTTTTTGAGAAGTGAAAAAAAATTGTTAATAACCTGACAATTATGTTTTTGTTTTCATAGTTGAATAAATGATAAACTGCATTCAAAAAGCTTATCTTTCTTTCAAGGACAAAAAGCGAGAAAAGTAATGCGCGCAGCTCTTTTCCGTATGAGTAGTGTACAACTATAGCTATAGATATATAGCCCGTTGTATGCATATACATATAGGTTTAGCTTCTCCTCTCTCCATCACCGATGCACACATTTAGATTCTCATATCTACTTACGTATTT